ACATCATTATGTTTTACCACAGAGTCATTTTCATTTAAAGTCATAGATTTTATGCTTTTTTCGTCCACCACTACATCTCTTGCTATCACAAACTTCCTCGATTCCTCATTCCACAATTTATAGCCATTTGGCTCATACCCAACGAATATAGTCTTGATAGACTTCTCGTCAAATTTTCGCTTACGCACTTTATTTAGTGCGTACACAGTCGATCCAAATATTTTCAAATATTTTAATATTGGCTTCTTTTTATGCCACATCTCATATGGTGTTTTTCTTATATTTTCCAAAGCTCTACTTGGGGTCCTATTTACTAAATAAGTTGCTGTTAAAACAGCTTCACCCCAAAAACTTTTATTAAGTTTAGTACCATTAATCAAAGATCGAGCTTTTTCGGTGATTGTTCTAATCATCCGCTCCGCAACACCATTCAATTGTGGGGTGTGAGGAACCGTTAAGTGATAACTGATACCTTTTTCTACACAAAATTCACGCATTTCATTAGAGAGACATTCCCTGCCATTATCAATATACAGATTTACTATTTTTAAATTGAAATGAGCTTCACTTTTTGCTACAAAGTCTTTGAATACAAAAAACACGTCTGATTTATAAGTTATTAAATATGTCACACAGTAATGTGTGAACTGATCAATAAATACTACATAATAGTTTTTAATATCAATAGTTGAGGGAGTAATCGGACCACATACGTCAGAATGAACTACAAACAACGGGCGGTCAATATTTTCTTTATTTTTAGATTTTTCAAATTTAAGCCTAGATTGCTTTCCGTTTATACACGCCTCACATATTTCATTTTTATTTAGCTGTACGTTTTTTATAAGTTCAACATCTTCAAACAAGCTATTTCGTTTAATTTCTAAGAATTTTCCTACACTAATATGGCCTAACCTTTCATGCCACAAGCGATATTCTGCATCATTTAAACTTTTGGATAAATATATTTTACTATTTAAATAAAATTTCACAATCGGTACATTATACTCACATGTTCCTTCAAATGCCAAGTTACCATTTTTGATTACTTTAATACCATCCGGATTAAATTCGACGGACATTCCAGCATCCAGCATCTTCTTCACGGATAGTAAATTGTGCGGGATTTCCTTGCAATACAGCACATTTTGTAATGCAATATTTTTCCCAGAACTGTTAAGATTAACTAGTCCTTTCGCAGAAGCATACACAAACTCTCCACGCTTTGCAATCTCAATCGGCACACTTGGATTTATATTTTCATACTCGGAAAATAAATTTACATCGTTTACTATGTGATCTGACGCCCCAGAATCTAATATAAATTCTATGCAATCTGTCTTTTCATTAGAATTAGCTGATTTCATCATAAATGCGAAAGCACAGTCCTGCTGCGTCGCTGTCATCTGAGTCTGTCTCTCTCTAACAGCTACGTTCATCATAAATGCAAACGAATGTTCTGGCTGCGTTGCTTTTGCCATCTGAGCCTGTCTCTCTCTAACATTACTCTGGTTTTGAATATTCTGGTTGCCTGCCTGCCTTTTTAATAAGAAACAGTCTTTCTTCATATGGCCTAATTTTCCACAATGAAAACATTTTAGCTTAGACTTTGAATTATTTGGAAATTGTTTCTTGACAAATTTTGTTATTTTGTTTTTGTATGTGCTATCCCTAGGCATTCGATTGCCTATAGCCTGTAACACTTTTGCACTTGTGTCCTTGGCAGCTCCTTTTAGTTTAACTTCATGGTCAAGAAGCCGAGTCTTGACAAACCCTAATGTTAAACTGCTCTCAGAGAGAGTTTCTAACGCTGTAATTACTCCATCATAGCTAGTTGGAAGTGTTAGAAGCAAATGAGACACTTTGTCCATTTCATCTATCTTGGCTCCCGCCGCAACTAACTCAGTAAACAAATCATCAAATAAACGAAAGTGGTTTACTAGCGGAGTATCACCCTTCAATTTTAAAGCCAATAGTTGTTTGCGTAATGAAAGTTGAGACGCTAGGCTTTTACGCTCGTAAATACCATCCAGATTTTCAAAAATTTCCTTAGCTGAGTTCCCATTGTTAGCAAATACTAAAAATGAATCACTTAGATATTCTATTACAATCCTCTTTGCATTTCGTTTTGCTCGCTTCACTTCCTCACTTTCCTTGTCACTTGGTTCCTCATCAACTACTTTTAACAAATCGTTTTCCTCTAGCAAAGCCCTGACTCTAAATTTCCATATGGAATATTTTTCGCCGTTAAAGGGTGTTATGTTTCTCTTTCCTTTTTCCATCTTCCGAGAATAATGTTCTTCCTTTGAATTGCTATGCGTTTCTCAGAATTCTTGTAGCTAGTCTGCTTTAACACTCGCTCGCACGCTGCCGAAAACAAAAAATTATATACATATACATACATATATGTTGTAACGAACTGCTTTTGTGTCTTCGCTCGCTACGAGAACGTGCGGCTAGCTCAGATGAGTTTGTGTGTTCGTCCCACCAAATTTATTGATGCGTAACCCCGAGACCAAAGAATAACACAGAGTTAGGTTAGATTTAAGAATACTTGTTGGGTTTATTGTACGTAGATTTGTAGCTCGATATTTGATTTGTGGTTCTGCTGTCTGATGACTCGATCTCCCTCGTTGACGCCGGTAATGGCTCCCGCGTCGACTCCTGCGACGGCACGCCTGTCGTGCGTCCTCTGCCTTGCCGAGTCTTTCGGGCACCGGTCGCGTATTAGGCACGCTACGAGCCTCTCACAACCTTGGAGGATGTTAGGCAGAACCTCCCTAGCGGGGCTAAGCAGTGATGCCTGCAGTCACCACTCTTCGCTCCACCCCGGAGTTCGGTCGGGACTTCGTCGGCCTGGCCCTCAGCAGGTCCTCACTCTCGTGTGGACCGACGCCGGGTACCTTTCGCACAACTCCACTGGATCTTCGTCGGCCTGGCCCTCAGCAGGTTCTCAATCTTTCATAGGAAACCGACGCCGGGTACCTTTCGCACAACATCCACTGCCAAGACTCCACCAACTTCGTCGATTTCGAGACTCGTAGACGCACCCTACAACTTACCTTGTACCCTCGGGATCTCAGCTTGGCAGTCTCAGCTTATGTAGACGTGACCGTCGTTGGGCTTCTTGACTCGGCGATCTTGATTCCGGATTATTTGGCACTTGGTATTCTCCTTGGGGTTTCACTCGCGTTGGTACGATCTCGTTGCACGACTTCACTTGACTGTCTTGGCGGGTCTTGGACACGACCGTCCTCCGAGGCGGTTCCTTTCTAACTCCTCGCGTTGATACGGTCACTTGCACGACTTTCACTTGACTGTCAAGCTTCCTGCACGCGTCCTCCTTTTATATGCCACCCTGGTCCCGTTATTTCCCTCCTTCGGTGGCGTGATTGGATCCAAAGTGCAGGACAAGTGGCGTGATCGGGTCCAAAGGGCAGCACAAGTCCCGTTAGTTCACGGTCTCTCCTCTTTGTGCTGGTCCAAAGTCCGCCAACTTCACCGTTATAACGGGTACAAAGTCCAGAACTTCACCGTTATAACGGGTACAAAGTCCAGAACGGTACCGTTAGTTCACGGTCTCTCCTCTTTGCGCGGGTCCGAAGTCCGCAGACTCACCGTTATTGGGTCCAAAGTCTGCAGACTCACCGCAGCATTGAGTCCAAAGTCCTTTGCACCGTTATTTCCCTTTTCTTCTGCACGCCGCGCATCCCGCTGTTGCTATGCGGCTCTCCTGCACTCAAACTTGTAAGGCGTTTTACAAACCCTTACATCTCCCCCTTCCTTCGGAAACTTTTAAAAGCTTCGGGCTCCGGAATATCTTGGGGAAACGTTCTCAATTTGCATCCTTCCCACGTCGACCTCCACTCCTGAGTGCGGCCAAGGGCCCTCTGGATCTCAGCCGGACAGTCTCAGCTTAGTAAGGCATCTCGACTGCCGCGTCTCGACCTCCATGGCTTCTTGCGCGCACCTCGATCCTTCCTAGATCCTTGTGGCCGCTGCCACTCCCTCGTCGACCTCCTCCTGCCACGGCTGAGAGCTCCTCAAATCTCAGCACCTAAGTCTCAGCTTATGTAGACATCCCGTCGTTGGGCTTCTTGACTAGGGCATCTTGACCGTCGAAAACTCCCAGCGCGCGACTCCTTCCGATCCTCGTTTCAAATTTGAAAAGTCTCCCGCGCAGAATTTCCCCGCGCACAATCGATAACTCGTCTATCGATCGTGGCGTTGCCACTCCTCAGGGTGCCGTCATATTCAGTGTGACCGGCCAGCGATGTTTCCAGTATTTCTTTAGCTCCCATCGATCGCACTATCGATCGACCGCCGTTATCGTGGCGACCCCATTCCCAATTTCCGCTGGCCTCGTAATTTTGTTTTGGTAAGTACTTGAGGTTATTTCGTTCTTTTCCAAATTTCTCACCATTTCCTCCCTCTTCTTGCAGCATGCATCTTTTCCGGGTTGAGCTGCGAGCGCCTCCCCGATGACTATGTGCCGGGGCGCCCACCATGATGCAGCGCGTCCCGGCAGGCCCTCTCTTGGCCCCTTTTCCCCTCCACTGCCCCTCCCACCCCAGCAGCCCCTTTGGACTGGAGGCCCGGGCTTGCTCCCAGGTAAGTTTGTGAAATATTTGGCCGCTCCTCGGCTTACCTTTTCCTCTTTTTATTCCAGCTTGTCCCGGCTTCCAGTCGCTGCTTCCTCTTCATGCGCCGGGCGCCATCCTTGGCCCGTCGCGCCCGGCAGATGGTCCTCGGGCGGACGTCCATGGAGTCGTTGGGTCTGTCGCTGACCCCCTCTCGCCTCGCTCCTTGCCGGCCCGCGCGCCTGGCTCGCGCCCCTCGCGGGGTCATTGACCCGTCCGGCCCCCATCCTTTTTTCTTGTGTATTTTTTTTCTGTTTTGCCTGTTTTTTTGTGTGTGTTTTTACTGACCGGTCCACCTCCGGCATTACCCACCCCTGTCCCCTTAATACACAGCCGATTCAATGGCACATGGCGAGGCATTTATTTAGTTTTGAAAACCCTGGCCCGCCCGCCCGCCATCTTAATGCGGTAGCGGGCCCCCTCCGACCACATCAGCTTGGCCCACCGCTGGGTCCTCCCTCGTTGGGCCTGCTTCTCCGCCTCGACCCTCACCGCCTCCGGACACTCCGTAAGGGCTATCTCCCGCCCGGCGGGCTCCACCGACACCGTCCTCCGCAAGGTGGGCCTCTTCGGTGCCTGGGCCTCCGGGCACGACACCTGCCGGAGTAGCCTCGGCGGTCCTGGCGGCGGTTGCGGCGCCGACGGCGGTGGCCCTTGCGGCAGTGGCGGCGTGCTTCTTGCCACTGGCGGCGGCGGCGGTGGTGACGGCGGCGGCAGTGGCGGCGGTAGCGGTGGCGACGGTGGCGGTCCTCGCGGCAGTGGCGGCGGTAGCGGTGGCGACGGCGGCGGTCCTCGCGGCAGTGGCGGCGGTAGCGGTGGCGACGGTGGCGGTCCTCGCGGCAGCGGCGGCGTCGACGACGGCAGCGGTCCTTCCGGCCGTGGTGGCCACACCCACGCCGGCGGAGGAGGCGGTGCCATCTTCGGCGGCGGCGGTGACGGCTTCGGCGGCGACGGCAGTTTTGCCGATGGCGGTGGCGATTGCAATTTAGGCGGTGGCGGTGGTGGCGACCTCGGCGGTGGCGACGGCCGCTTCGGCGGTGATGCTGACGCCGACGACGACGACGACGACGACGACGACTACGACGACGACGACGACGACGACGACGACGACGCCGACGACGACGCCGACGGCGACCTCGGAGGCGGCCTCCATAACTCGGCCTCCTCTTCCTCTGCCTGCTGGAGACGCACTTGCCACGCCTCCCACGCCGCCGCCCTCTCCCTCTCCTGCTCCTGTAGCCGTCGCAGCGTCCATTGGCACCTGGCCACAATGGCTGCCACCTCTGCGGGGTCCCCCGACGGAGCCTCCGTTCCGCATCGGATAAAATCGCCGCCCGCCACGGCCCGCCTGAGCTGCCTGTAGCTCCTCCTCGCCTTCGCCGCCCGCCGGTCGTCGTCCTCATCTGACGAGACCACGGGCGTTACGGTCTCCCCGCCGCTGTCCTCCTCTGTCGACGACAGCTCCACCGTGACCATCTCCGCGGTGGGGCCGCCGTCGACCTCCTCGTCGGAGGACACCTCCCTCTCCGACATCTCGCACCAGGCCGGCGACGGCGACCGCGATACCAGCGGGGACGCCAGCAGCTGGAGGGCCGACGACGTGCGCCGACGCCCCCATCTCGCCCCTGGCTGTTGCCGCTGGTCGCGGCCCTCCGCGCCGACCTTACGCTTGCGTAGCTGCTTCATGGGCAACGGCTGCTGCTGTTGCTGTTGTTGCGGCTGCTGGTGCTGCTGTAGCTGCTGCTGCTGTTGCTGCTGGTGCTTCTGCTTCTGCTGCTGCAGCTTCTGCTGCTGCTGCTTCTGCTGCTGCTGCTTCTGTTGCTGCTGTTGCTGCTTGCGTCCGGCCATCTCGATCGTAGTTTTTGAAAAGACCGAATCTTCCCACGTGGTTCCCCATGACAGCTCGGTTTCCTTATTTCCGCCACTCCCGTTATTTGGTGGATTTGTACCGGTAACGGGATCCTTCCCGCCGCTCTCTTTCGGTTTGTTAGTGTGAGTGATCCGTTATATGCGTGCGGCTGTGTACCCTCCTCTGACCCGCGTCTCGCGCTCCAGGCGCTCGCGCTCCAAAATACGTGTGTGTGGGAGGCACTGCATCGATACTCCGTATCGTCCTCCCCCTTCCTTCGGAAACTCCGCAGTCTCCGACTTCCCGATCTCAAATCTATTTTCTGGTTTCTTTGGTCTGAGTATCACGCTTGGGCGCCAGATGTAACGAACTGCTTTTGTGTCTTCGCTCGCTACGAGAACGTGCGGCTAGCTCAGATGAGTTTGTGTGTTCGTCCCACCAAATTTATTGATGCGTAACCCCGAGACCAAAGAATAACACAGAGTTAGGTTAGATTTAAGAATACTTGTTGGGTTTATTGTACGTAGATTTGTAGCTCGATATTTGATTTGTGGTTCTGCTGTCTGATGACTCGATCTCCCTCGTTGACGCCGGTAATGGCTCCCGCGTCGACTCCTGCGACGGCACGCCTGTCGTGCGTCCTCTGCCTTGCCGAGTCTTTCGGGCACCGGTCGCGTATTAGGCACGCTACGAGCCTCTCACAACCTTGGAGGATGTTAGGCAGAACCTCCCTAGCGGGGCTAAGCAGTGATGCCTGCAGTCACCACTCTTCGCTCCACCCCGGAGTTCGGTCGGGACTTCGTCGGCCTGGCCCTCAGCAGGTCCTCACTCTCGTGTGGACCGACGCCGGGTACCTTTCGCACAACTCCACTGGATCTTCGTCGGCCTGGCCCTCAGCAGGTTCTCAATCTTTCATAGGAAACCGACGCCGGGTACCTTTCGCACAACATCCACTGCCAAGACTCCACCAACTTCGTCGATTTCGAGACTCGTAGACGCACCCTACAACTTACCTTGTACCCTCGGGATCTCAGCTTGGCAGTCTCAGCTTATGTAGACGTGACCGTCGTTGGGCTTCTTGACTCGGCGATCTTGATTCCGGATTATTTGGCACTTGGTATTCTCCTTGGGGTTTCACTCGCGTTGGTACGATCTCGTTGCACGACTTCACTTGACTGTCTTGGCGGGTCTTGGACACGACCGTCCTCCGAGGCGGTTCCTTTCTAACTCCTCGCGTTGATACGGTCACTTGCACGACTTTCACTTGACTGTCAAGCTTCCTGCACGCGTCCTCCTTTTATATGCCACCCTGGTCCCGTTATTTCCCTCCTTCGGTGGCGTGATTGGGTCCAAAGTGCAGGACAAGTGGCGTGATCGGGTCCAAAGGGCAGCACAAGTCCCGTTAGTTCACGGTCTCTCCTCTTTGTGCTGGTCCAAAGTCCGCCAACTTCACCGTTATAACGGGTACAAAGTCCAGAACTTCACCGTTATAACGGGTACAAAGTCCAGAACGGTACCGTTAGTTCACGGTCTCTCCTCTTTGCGCGGGTCCGAAGTCCGCAGACTCACCGTTATTGGGTCCAAAGTCTGCAGACTCACCGCAGCATTGAGTCCAAAGTCCTTTGCACCGTTATTTCCCTTTTCTTCTGCACGCCGCGCATCCCGCTGTTGCTATGCGGCTCTCCTGCACTCAAACTTGTAAGGCGTTTTACAAACCCTTACAATGTATGTATATGTGCGTTGTTCACTTATAAGCACAAATTTCAATAATTATTTTGTTTAGACTTTATTTAAGGGGTTATATACCTTTTTCAGACTCAAAAAATCGAAAAAAATTTTATGATTTTTTTTTGATGTACATACTTTCAACAATTTTTCTGCAAAATTTTTTAGAGATCGGGGCACTAGAACCTAAGATACAGCCGTTCATAGCGCACGGTGAACATGACTACCTAATGTCCACCTAAAACTTTAAACGCGATTATCTCGGAGTCGCATTTTTGAGAAAAGGTCATTGCGGTGAGCACGATATCTCGGTAACCACTACATCGATCGATTTGATATTTTGGGGGATTGTTTGTAGATACAATAGCTAGTTCGTGAACGAAGGAATTTTTTTTCGACAAATTTTTCTATTTTTTTGGGGCGAAAAACTAAATTATTAGACCTCGAAAAATCGGTTTTTTTGAAAAAATAATCACTGTAACTGTAAAAAATTTTTTTCGTAAAATCCTTCGTTCACGAACTAGGTAACACTATATACTAACGTAGTTTTTTTTCATTTTTTTTTAAGTTGAGCCGTTTTCTTGTTTTCATGCTCACCGCAAGCCTCTAATGAAAAAAGGACTTCTGCGGGAAGGACTCTAACTTCCACAATACTCAAAATTTTCACTCGAAATTTTATACGAATTAAGTTAAGGACACGTACTTTGATAAAATTTTTATTGAATTTAAATAAAACAATGGTAACATGCTAAAAATAAATAAATAAAAACCATGTATTTCTCTGGTGAAAAAGGTATATAACCCCTTAAGCTTTAATTGTTTCACTTTTCTTTCTTTTTTTTTTTATTTCACTTTTATTATTGGTTACAATCAAAGCATTTTACTATAGCACTTTGTTGCAAATCGTGTCTGGGCCCATAACCTATAGAATTTATAGTATTAATGTTTTATACAAACTCCAGCCCGATTTGCCAAAAAGTAAGAACACTTTAATTGTAGTTTTAATTATTTTTATTTTATACAACCGCACGCTCTCGTTGTCTGTAAGCAAGTAAGTAGGGCACGCATGTGCATACAAAAAGGAAACCAGAACGTTCTTAGGCTGAGAGTGAGAGAATAAAAGGAAGAAGAGAGCTTTGCCTCTCTCCAAGATCTCCTCCGCTCATCCCCTTCCCACAACATAAAATGGGGATGTGTATTAGTGAAACTTTTGATATTCTCAACAGAGGTTGTATGTGTTATTCTATGTATATTGAAATAAAGTTAACACCTTTTGCGCATACTTGCGCAAATTAAAAATACCCAGCGGGAAAAAACCTGTGGAAAATATGCTTCTTTCCTCTGCTTTCTTCATACAAGAAATGTGTGGAAAACCTCCTCTACCCCTTCCTTTTCTGCCTTCTCTCCTTGCCAAATACACGGGGGTGACACACAAAAGGCAGGGGTAGAGGAGGTTTTCCAGTGGATCTACAGCTGCCCAAAGCAGGACAAAATCCACTGGATTTTTCCCTTACCGCTGAACAAAAACCTCCTTCTTTCGGCAAAAACCCACCCCCGAAATCGGTCCGAAATCGGTCCGAAATCGTTTAACCCCTTCCCAACGCCTGGCAAAAGAAGTAGGTTTTCATCTATCCCTACCCCTACGCCTGCCAAAAGCAGTAGGTTTTCCACTGGTTTTTTCAGGACAAAAAAACCTACTTCCCACTTTCCCGCTGGGTATTTGAATAGTTTTAGGACAACTCAACATTCGTCGATCCGATTTGTTGGATGTGTGGCTGGGCAGGGGACGCAGTATTGACGCTACTTTTGATTGGCTATGCGATAAAATAAACAAAAATTGCTTATCTACCGACGCTCAAAATGGCATAAAGAAACAATTGCAAAATTTTGTTGCCCATGTTAAAAAGCTATTAATTAAAAGTAATAGGCATATGGAACGTTTTAAGGAGGCAAATAAAAGCTGGCTAGCGGCAGAAATATCATTTCTGCCCAAGGAGGATCATGCCACAAAACAGAGGGGAAGACCCCATTTAGCTTTCGAAGAAGGAGGAGCTCGTTTGAAAAGAATGTTGGCTTCAAAACTTTCGAAGGAAAATTCAAAAGACATTCTTATACATGCAGCTGCCATGTCAGCAAAGAAGTCCGGAGATAAGGAAACGTCCAGGATTTTAAAGACAAAATTGAATGCAAATGAATGTCATTCGAAGAGTTCTACACCAATTTTACTGTCAGCAGATAAGGCGTTGGCATTCCTTATTGAGAACTCCTTCTCAAAGCAACAATATATTAACATTAGATTAATGAATATAAAAAAAAATTGCAATATTTTTCCTAGCTATGAAAAGGTCAAGGAAGCTAAAAACAAGAGCAGGCCACTTGCAATACAAGTATCAGAAACTGTTGCTGAAGTGCCGTTGCAGAACTTGTTAGACCATACTGTTTCAAGAATTATTTTATTTCAAACCCCGGTCTTTGAACAATTTTCTAATATAAATAAACTGAAGTTAACCGTAAGCTATGGATTTGATGGTTCGACCGGACAAAGTATTTACAAGCAACGATTTAATGAAGTAGAACCTAAAAGCCTTGACCAATCTTTATTTGTGACGACAATAATTCCTCTTGAAATGACTGATCAAATGGGACGAATTATCTGGAGAAATCGAAGCCCACAGTCCGTCAGGTATTGCAGGCCATTAAAGATTGAATTCATTAAGGAAAGTCGAGAACATATTTTAAACTCAAAAAATAGTTTGGATTTACAAATAGCCAATTTAAAAACATTTTTATATGAAGAAGCCCCTCTTAAAGTAGAAGTTTCATACGACTTACGCATGACGCTTATAGATGGCAAAGTTTTGAATACTTTAACGGGGACAAGGTCAACCCAATCATGTCCGATTTGTGGAGCAGGCCCAAAGGACTTCCTTAAAATAACTGATATTAACAGTAAGGTTTTTGAACCAAACCCGAATGCCTTGCATTTCGGAGTTAGTCATCTACACGCATGGATTCGATTATTTGAGTTCGTTTTAAATATATATCATACCAAGTGGGTCTTCAAAAATGGCGAGTAAATAATGATTCTAATAAGGACAAGGTGTTGGCAAGA